GGATGACATTTCCTACAATCCATCTTCACACTCCAAGTCCAAGAAATGCCCTCTCAAAAAGTTATCAATTTCTACATTATAGGTCAAATTCAAAAGTCAACAAAAATGCACTTTAAGTCAAAGACCATAACTTGAGATTGGTACATCCAAATGACATGGGACCAAAGGAATTGGTTAGAGGACTTCAAGACCTTTCCAAAATGTCCAATAACATGGTCATATGATCAAAATTGAGCAAGATATGCATTGGAGAAGTTGGGAAATTTTTAGGAATTTGCAAAAGTCAACTTTGCTCAAAACACCTTATTTTTGCTAATGGGCCCCAAATTTCTTCTTGAAACTTTATCCATGGCCTATGCACGACCCATCAAGCTTAATTGAATTTATTTTCTTATTTTTCCAATCAAATATTCAATCATCATTCCAATGGATTTTTGTGCAAGATTCTGACCTAATTCCATTCCTCTATAAATATGCAAGCAAACCCTGAACATGCACACGTGAGAAAGCTTCAGAAAAGCCATAGCCATATTGAAAAATTTCCAAGAAAATTGAAAACTGACTTTTGTATTCTAGCACGATTCAAAGGCTTTTGTTGATTCTAATCTATTGCAGGGGTTCTCAGAGACGTTTTGCAATCAAAACCAAGCATTGAAGCTCAAAGAATCATCAAGAACAGAGTCACGGTTTGCCTTTTATTTTCAGAATCGTGCTGTTCAATTCATGCATATTTAACGTGCTTTTGTGTTTGTTTTGCATTGCTAGAACTCATATGAAGCTGATGGTATAATTGAATTGGATTAAAACGCATAGAATCAAAAGTTGCCATGGTTGAATTTTAGGGTTCATAAGCTTTAAAATTAGGGCTTTACAATCCAGGAACAATTAGGGTTCATAAGGTATATGGTTGGAATCGTCAAGACCAGACGAACACACTGGGACCATCGCGAAATATTTATATTTACCATAGCTCTATTCCCTATTTTTGGTCGTTGTAGTTTGTGGGGGTTAAAAACCCCCGCTATCTGATTTGTTTTTACAGGTACAAAGGAAGAAGATGACTAGGTGTTGATGCATCATTGGTCAGTTTGAAAATAAGTGCGCGCGTTTTTTGGTTACAGCATACTTGATTGTTTTATATATTATATTTGCTTATTGTTATAATAACAAACGCGTGCACATGGCGTAGTGGAGGATGCGTTGGCTTGGAATCATTGGGACCTGGGTTCGAATCCCAGGTCCCCCAAAATACTTGTTATTATTTTTCTTCATAAGATCACATGCAGGTTGCAAAAGCAGGTTTACCATGTACCTCCAAACATCCAAATGCCAAGTGGCTACAGGCACAAATCCAATGGCCATGAGATGTTGATCATCATATTCCCAGTCAACCATGCGCCTGGACAATCATGAAAGTCAAAAAGGGCTAGCAGCTTAATGGGCCAGAATTGCAACAAAGACCTCCTTAATGGGCCAACACCCCCCCTGGTTTCTCTCTTTTTCTTTTATATTTATTTTTTCATTTAACTATTTTACTATTAATTATTATTATTATTATTATTTAATTCACCAAATTAACTTTTTTTTAATAATAAAATTCAGAAAACTAAAATATTTTTATTATTTATTAATTTCACCTTTAATTTATTATTTTGTAAATAAATACTAACAAATTAATTTATCTTAATTAGGGTTAATTTTAACTTCTTTCATAACAAATAAAATGAATTAGAATTAGGGTTTTCTTGACAATTTTAATTTCTTTTCTTTTATTTCACTAAAACATAAAAAACTCAAAAAAACTATTTCTTTTAATTAATTAATTAGTTTTAGGATTAATTTAATTAAATACAAAAAGGACAAAAAAACTCATTCTTTCTCAAAAAAGGGTCAAAACCCTAAGGATTTCTCTAATTCAATTTTCTCTCGCGCGCATATAATTTTTGATCATATTCATGTAATTGCTCCGAGTATGTAATAGCGTTAATTAGGACTTTTTACTGCTTTCATTTATTTTCTCGCATTTACTTTTCAAGGGTTGTTTTTGGCGATGTAAATACCCGACGCCTTGTAATAGCGTAGATTTACTTTCCCGCAAATTATTAACTGTTAGATGCATGTTAATTAGGCTATGCATGACAAGACTTGTTCTCAAAATAAAATCAAAACGTAGCTCACAATAGCATGTGCAAAGATAACTTAACATGAAACTTGACACACTCGCACATGCCACTCTTAGGATACGCCTCACTTGGTTGCCTCGACGTGGTCATTGAGTATAGGGTGTTTTAGAGGTCGCCCTCCTGTCTAAAGATCCAAGTTGCCTCGAAACGGTTGCCTCGGATAAAAAAGGATCTAGGACATTAGGGTTACCGCTAAGGCGTCCTACTATTACTTTGATGACCACATGTCCCTATAATCGAATTGACCCGAAAACTCCAACGACGGTGCTACCTACTTCTCAATAGTGGGATAGTACTGTCTAAAGGACATTTACACAGCTTAATTTCTTTTGAGTAGGTAGAGGTTCTCAGGTACTTGCTCTTTCAAAACAAAAACAACATTTCGCACTTACTCTTTTCTGACAAAAGTTTTCAAACAACACTTCATACACTCTTGAGGACATACACAAGAGTCAAAACGAAGTTTTCAAACGAACTCTTTTCAAAACCCACAAACACAAGAAAAGCAAAACATTTTGAAAACATAGTGAGCAAGTACCTAAGAGCCCGTGGATAACCACGGATAGAAAGGGTGCTAACACCTTCCCTTTCTATAATCTACCTCCCGAACCCGAGAAACATCTCGAAAAGGAATTTTGATGTGCTTTTGTCCTTTCCTTGTTGGAGAAAATAAAAGACGGTGGCGACTCTTGCTTACCGCGACATTTCGCAAACCAGCATTAAAAACAGTCAGTTCTATTTCCACCGATCACACAACCCATTGGGGATAAGAGGTGACAGCCAAGAATCCAGCATTGAATTGCTTCATGACTTCTGCTTTAATCTTTTCTGACATATCAGGCCTCATGTGACGAACTTTTTGTTTTACTGGCGGACAATCTTCTCTTGTAGGCAGATGATGTACCACAATATCTTCATCAAGTCCTGGCATATCTTCATACGACCAGGAAAAGACCTCGACATAATGATGCAACAACTGAATCAGACGCTTCTTGACACTGGGTTCCATATTGGCACCCACTTTGACCTCATTTTTATCTTCTCCGGTACCTAGGTTGATCGTATCCATGGATTCCTCGTGGGGATGAATGGTTCTCTCTTCTTGTTGTAGCAATCTGGAAAGTTCCCCTGGTACTTCACAATCTTCCTCACCTTCGTCTTCGGCTTGGTATATCAGATTCTCAGAGTCACAAAAGGCCATAGCAGTATCGTTACCCATGAGATCCAGAATGGATGTATACCTGCATTGTGAGTGTGGGTGTGTGTAAGGGTATAGCTATCTTTGAAATAAAGTAAAATGTTGTCATACCCAAAATTTGTCCGCCCTTTATTTCAACAGTAAAAAATATTTTAATTATTGATTTTAAAATATCATTTTATTTTTATAAAATATTCACTTCCAAACCTGTTTAAAAATATAATGATTTATTTCAGATCATTTGTACTTTTGAATAAATAAATATTCACATACATTTCATATACTTTCAATTGAGTTTATTTACAAATGAATAACATAGCACAATTGGTAAAGGATGAAGCTTACAAATATAAGGTCGCGGGTTCGAATCTCTTGTGCCGCACTTTCAACATTTTTTATTTTTTTCTATTTTTTGTCACTAATTTTCTTTCCTTTTAAATTGGTGTTTCTTATTGGCCATTTGATGTCAATTTGTGTCACACTTTATTTTTGATTGGTCAAATTTGTCTTATTTCCAATTTGGATGGTTTTTTTCATCTATAAATAGGACATGTTTTTCACACTTCTAGATCATTCACAATTTCTCATAATTTCACTACACACTCTTCACAAACACATTCTCGCACTTTCTTTTCAAAATTGTTTTCAAATAGTATTGGTTTTTTTTGGCCGATGATTCAAATATGAGGCCCTCTCTTTTATTTTCAATGTTTAATTTTTAACATATGATGAACATCTATATGATGTTATAAGTTTTTTTAGATTATATTACACACACAATTAACCAAGAATTCACATAAACACACAAATTCTAAGATCCACAATTTTGTAACATCACTCATACTCACAATTCCACACTCTTTCTTTTCAAATTTTCTTTTCAAAAAACCTTTGGTGTTACGAATTTTTTTAGTGTTATTGTGTTATTTTGGCCGATGATTGTATATGAGGCTCCTTTTTATTTTAATTTGTTTACACCAAATGATGAACATGATGGTGGTTCCTTTTAAATTTATTGGTTGTTTCTACCATATGAATATATTGTTTGATAATTGTTTATTTAATTATATTTTGTACTAACCTTTTGTAGAGACCAATTTTTACACATCAATCTCTCATTCACTGTGAAATTTACATTGCTACACATTAGAGCAAAAAATCGCATTAAATCAATTTATGTTTAGTGATTATGTTCTTATTAATACTACCTTTATATACAAATCTTTTTTTATATACTAATACTCTTATGTAATTACTAATTTTTCTTACATTATCAAACCCAAAATCATAGTACACCATCATCATCATTTCAAGATCATGTGAATAACATCTTGCTTCATATATCCTCATCTTCATTCAACAATATTAATCACCATCCTTAGAAATGCATAAATATGTTTGATTTTACTGTAAATAAACTAAACCTTACACCATAATCAAATTCTCTACCACCGTTCTCATTAACAAAATCTTCTCTTTACAAAAAAAAATCATATAACCTCTAATATCACCTTCACACACCATGCTTCACAACACCAAAACATGCTTCTCACTAATAGCACAACATTGACACAGACACACACTAATAATACTAAATTCAAAATTGTGTAAAAACAAAGATGAAGAGAAAACCAGAGAAAAGGTGGAAGAAGATCTGCGACAAATCTTGTCGGCACCGGACCATCAACCTCCTCCCTCCACCAGTCTGCATCGTCGTCCCCATTCTGAAACCGTCGCACCTCCCTGGCCTTGCTAGATACTCCGCCGGTAAATTTTCCTTCATATGCTTCCTTCGTTTTTGTCTTGAATGTATTGATTTAATTGAGAATGAAGCTTGGATATGTATATTTTATTTTCTATGATTTTATTAGTGGAAAATTTAATAATCAATTCGAGAGAATAGAGAGGCTGGAAGAAGATGATTTGTCGTTATGTGATTTTGGATTTTATTTTTTCTATTTTAATGTGTTGGTGTTTTTGATTTTTTTTTTATTTTAATAAATTCCAAGTGTCACTTTGCTATTGGAATTTGTTGTTGGAAAAGTCATACTTTTATAATGTTTATTAATATAAGGGAATATTGGTGAAAGAACAAAATTGGGATGCCACTGATACATATACTGACTTGTTCTCCTCTTGCATTTTTTTAGTTTTTTTTTATTTCTTAATCATAATTTAAATTAGAGCAATATTAAGGTTTTCTCACCTTGGGCCTAATTTAGGCCCTTTTACATTTAGCACCTCTCATTTTAATTCTCACCTCTTTTTATTTATTAATTTATTTAATTTTAGTAATTAATTTAGTTTAGTTAATTAAAATATTCAAATACAAAAATATCATGTACTTAATTTCAAATTCATTTTTAATTAAGCAAATTCAAATGTTTTACAAATTATACGATGGGTGGATTTTACATCCACCACATCCTCGAATATCGATTGGTTGACACATCGTCTACCGACTTATTATTCAAAATAAAACAATTAAAATCCATGCAACTCACCAAATTACTACATCCGCAAGCGACACGTGGCCAATATCTGGCCACGTGATGAGGAGACTATATCAGACTCCTTCTCTATATGTCTAAAAAATACTCAAACAAATATCAAATTATTTTTCGTAATAAATTAATTCAACATTAATTTTCGAAAAGGAATACAAAACATATTTTATTAACTGCGTGCTTGGTCCAATATCTCCGCAATTCACACATCCAGGCTAAGTACAAAGGGAAATTAAAATATCTGCGTAATCCATAAAAAATACAAACCAACTGCGAACTACGAAAACGAGACTCTGATTCCTCCTAAGGAGGATACGTAGGCATACGATCAAAAATCGTTGCGAGTCCCCCTAACTAAAATTCAAAACCTTTTCCATTATTATTAATAATTAAAACCCTATTTCCTAGAAACACACCTCTAAACCTAGTATCCTTGTGAACAAGGTAGACAAGGGGTGCCTAACACCTTCCCCTCGTCTAGAACCGAGTCAAACTTAGAATCTCTGAATTTCTTTTAGGGTTATTCCTTTATACTCCCTTCCTTTAGGATAAAAATTAAGGGTGGCGACTCTAATTTAAAAACCAGTTGCAACAAATGTAAAAGAAAAACAATGAGCACAAAAGTTTGTATGCGAAAAACGTCCATGATTCATTGATGTCATATGAAAAATGAGATAATAACCCTTACAAATGGACCATTGTGCCTCGGGTAAGACACAAGGTTTTAAGAGTGCGAATTGTTTTGAATATTACAGATCCAACAAAATGTAAAGACAAATTACTGAGGGATGAAAGTGATCGGGACAAAGTCTCTAGCCTCCCAATTGCTGAGCCATCCATTGACAGTCGGGAAGATCCAATCCCCTAGGTTGCAACCATCATCACCATCTTCCACTGTGTTGACGTCACGGTTGCTGATCTTCAAGGGTGACCCTCCAGCTCGGGCACGGCGTGCAGCCTTTTGAGCACTTGAAGTGAAACCTAGGCCAAACTTGTCAGACTTATATGGGATATCTGGGAGTTTTCCCCAGATAGTGCATCCACCTTCTTCCACCACTGCTTTAGCATCTTTCAGCGACGACATCCGGAGTGGAGGCCTTGTAATCTTGGGAATAGTCCTGGTCACTGCCACCTCTTGAGGGACCTCTTCAAAGTGTTGAAATGGAGTTTCAATGAATTCGCCGTCCAATTCCACATATCTGAAGGAATTGAGATGGTTGATCATGTATTCTTCCTCTCCATGTACGGTGATAATCTTCCCTTGAACTGGATACTTCAACATTTGGTGCAATGTAGAGGTAATAGTGCCAGCATTGTGGATCCATGGTCGGCCTAACAGGAAAGAGTATGAAGGGAGGATGTCCATCACATAAAAAGTTGAATTGAATGTTTGGGTTCCCACCTTTATGGGAATGTCTACCTCCCCATGTACCATCCTCTTTGAATCGTCAAAAGCCCTTACCACTATGTTGTTTGGATTCAAAGTTAACCCCTCACAGTCAAGTCTATCAAGAGATTTTTTGGGTAATACATTCAAAGACAAGCCAGTGTCCACCAAAACATGTCCCAGAGTGGTGCCCCTACATTCCACTAAGACATGTAATGCCTCCTTATGCTTTCTTCCCCTCGGCGTCAGATCAGCATCTAAAAAATCTAAACCATTGTCCGCAGTTAGGCTGGCTACGCAGTCTTGAAATTGATCAGCAGATGTCTCTTGAGGTACATGGGCGGTTTTTAAGAACCTCACCAAGGCTTTTGCATGTGCCTCGGAGCATAGTAGTAATGCTAGCATGGAGATCTTAGAGGGAGTTTGCCCCAATTGTTCAACTACATCGTAGTCGCTTATCTTTATAATTTTTAAGATCTCCACCATTTCCTTCTTGGAGGTCTTGGGGATAGTCAATGATTGAGCCTTCGTCTGGACAGGCTCAACCATAACGCCTTTTCCTCGAGCCTCGATTAACTCAGCAGCAGGAGTGTTAGTAAGAATGATTACAGTGGTTGTAACGGCTTTGCCAATTGGAGTATTATTGGAGATAAATGTAGGACCGGGAACAGCCTTTGGAGCAGCCACATGGATAATTACGGGTCCAGAAACTGCTTTTGGGGGAGCAATTTCTGGAGAAAAGATCCTACCACTTTGGGTAATTTTGCTAGTTCCTGCAATGTTACTGATGTCAGAGTCTTCTTTCTCGGATTTTGAATCTTCGGCTGCTGGCCAGTCTTGCTTGATACCATGGTAATAGACACCCCCCTCCATAATTCCATGGTATGGTTTTGTCTGATGTATATGGGACTGGCCCAGGCATTGTGATTATTAAAGGAGATGCTTTCAGAACTGATGTAATTCTAACGGGTCTTTTGGTGGAGACCTTGGAAGAATTGGCGGAAATGGTAATGATAGAAACATCTTCAACAGGAATAGGTGAGACAGGAATCTTTTCAAACAAAATCTCTTTGTTATCTATCAGGCACTGAATGCCTGTCTTCAATAAAGGACATCCAGTTGGTGAGGATAAGCAGAGATGGCAAACTTTATTACAGCCCAGAAACACGCCATCTTTCAACAAGTTCATTTTAATAGTCAGAAGTGGGGTCATAAGTTCATCAACGGAGGTAATAAACAATTCTTCTTCAATGGCATTAGTATTGTGACCATGTCTGGGCATAAGAGCAGAAATGACATTTGGCTTTTCAGACGCATCAAACTCAATTTCTTTTGCTTCAATGAGGTCTTGTATTTTGTTCTTCAAGGCCCAAAAGTTATTAGTATCGTGACTGGGACTTTCAGAGTGATATGCACAACGGGCATTGGGATGATAATGAGGAGATGTTGTGCTGGGGTTTGTTGGAGCTTCTTTCAAGGTTACCAAGTTGGATCTTAGAAGATGCGGTAATACTTGAGACAGAGTCATGTTGATTCTGGTGAATTTCCTGACTGGCCTTTCCACCCTTGGTTGATTATTTCTTTGTTGATCAGACGTAGGCTTTGGGATCATAACAGAACCCACCATTGGTCGGAGTTCGTCCCTATCTTGGTTCTTTGCGGATATATGACAACCACCTCTTTCTTCCCGATGAAAGTCTTCCTTACAGCTGTAGAAGAAGATATATCTTTCTGGATCTTTCCATTCTTTATATTGGCTTCTATCCTCTCTCCGGTCAATATTAGTTCAGTAAAGCCAGCGGATGAACTCCCGATTAAATGATTGAAGAAGGGACCAGATAAGGTGCCTAAGAACATGTCTACCAATTCTCTTTCAGAAAGAGGGGGTTGAAATCTTCCAGCCATATCTCTCCATTTTTGTGCATACACTACAAGAAAAAAAGAGATTTACGACACATAAATTGCGACAGTTCCCACAAAACCGTCCTTATTCCTGAATTGCGACAGTTGTCACGACGGTTAGGCTCAACCGTCGTAGATTTTCAAGCATTATGAGTAACATAATTGCGACAGTTACCAAAAAACCGCCCTCTTTTCACATCCGCGACAATTAGGTGAATTGTCGTAACTACATTAGCCAATCATAATCGCTACTTTTTTTTATTCTTTTACTTTCCCACTTTTTTTCTTTCATTTCCCCTTCTTTTTCTCTTTTATTATTAATAATAATAATAATAATAATAATAATAATAATAATAATAATAATAATAAAATAAATTACCAACAAAATAAATTTTCACACCCATCAATATTATTTTAAGATTTTCATAATTTTATTTATTAAATTACAATTTCCTTTATATTTTTCTTCTTTATTACGATTTCACTTCTTTTCTCAAATTTAAGCATTATTTTTATTTCATATTTTTTTATTTAATAAAACAAATAATAAAATAAAAAAGAAAAGAAAAAAACAAATTTTTCGTTTGATGAAATAGAGCTAGGGTTAAGAAGTTGTTTCATCTTCTTCTTAAAACACGACTTCCTCTCCTTCTCAAAATCGCGGCCGCTCTCACCACTGCTTATTCTATTCTGGCGCTGTCTCTGTCACCTTGCTCCGTTCATCACAGCTTCAGTCTGCCTTCGACAATCAACAGAAACGCTTCTCCGATCTCTTCTCTCGAATCTCTCTGTTAATGCCTCCGATTCCGTCTATCATCTTCGCTTCGAGCCTTCGTCAACTCCTCCATCGCTCTGTCAAAGTTCAACCATCTTTCTCTCTTCGCCTATTCAAATCGATGATGAGCCACTTCGCAACGCCTCCACACGCCCTCAGAATCTTTCAATCTCTGCTCATCTCGCTCAAATAGAGAATCGAAATAAAGGGAGAAATAGAGAAGGTAAATGGGAAGGAATTAAGCTACAATGAATTTGTTGAAAGATATATGGAGAAGAACAAACCAGTGATGCTAACTGGATTAATGGACAATCATTGGAAGGCTTGCACTGATTGGGTTAACCCTAATGGAAAACCTAATCTCCAATTTTTCTCCACTCATTTTGGTTCCTCCAAAGTTCAGGTTGATAAATTGTTACTTCTAAGTTAATTTCCTTAAAATCAATATTTAACATTGGTTGTTGGATATAATTTGTTGGTGATTATTGGTGATTGTAATTTGTAGTTACACTCAAACTTTGTAAGATTGAGATTCCTTTAACTCGTTTGAAAATTTGAAATGTTGATGCTATCAGCTGATTGAAATTTTGGTCATGGAAAGGTTGCAGACTGTGATACCAGAGATTTTACTGATCAAAAAAGGGAGGACATGTTGGTTTCCGATTTCGTTCGACTTTGCTTTAAATATGAAGGTTCTGCAGTTCAGTGCAGTAATCAAATTGGTGTAAGTAATGGTGACTCTGCATCTGTACCGTATTTGAAGGATTGGCATTTTGTGAAGGTATCATTTTTGGCTTTTCATCACTTTATCATTCATTGTTGTACATTTGTAGTGCCTTTTCATAATTTACTTTGAAGTCTGCCCCTGTCAACCTAGATAATCCTCTTGTTGCATTAGAGTTATCATATGTTATGTTATACTACAGATGATGATTTACTAAGTAATTTCTTTTTCTAACTATTGCAGGAGTATCCTGATTACGTACCATACATCACTCCGATGTTCTTTTGTGATGATTGGCTCAACTTGTATCTCGATAACTTTAGAATGAATACTTATTCCGACAGAGACCAGCAAAATAAGGAAATATGTTGCTATGACTATCGTTTTGTTTACATGGGAGTAAAAGGTGTGATTTTAGTTGGGAAGAAATCTTGAAATGACCATGAATCTCAGATGATTCTGCACTTTTCTATGCGAAGAGATGAGCAATCCAACAGTAACTTCTTACTTTCACTTCTTCTGGCAGGATCTTGGACTCCTCTACATGCTGATGTTTTCAGAGCAGCTCCGAAGGCTCTTCAAATTGATGAAGATGGTGAGAAAATCAGATAGCAATCTCTTCAGAAACTTAGGTACGAATACCTCACTTTCTCACTTTGAATTCACATTTCATTGGTAATTCATCTTCTTCAAATCTCTTCCACGAATTTGCTTCTTGTTTTTACTACAGTGTTATATGGAATTATTGTCCTGTGTGATTCGAAAATCATTGAACATGATGATGATGCAGTTTTGATGAAGTATGCGTGATGTTGATTATCGTTGTTGAGAAGCCGATTCGGACTTGTTGATGAAAATGATTTTGTGTAGAGAAGCAGTTAGAGAGTGAGTTTTGGAGAGATGAAGTTCTGAGAAGAGTTTCGGATGTGTGCAGAACGAATTGTTGAAGTTTTAGAAGTGAAATCGTTGAAGACTCATAGAAGATTTTTTGTAATTCTCTCAAGTTGTAGCAAACCAATGTAAATATTAAAATGAAATTTGGCCTTTGATGATATTTGAATTTTTCTTGTTTATTGGTAAAATTTGCACTTCTTTTTACCTTTGATCACATTTTTTTGATATTATTGATGATTATTTGATATTAAATGTTTTTATTGTAATTAACTTTATTATGTTGAAAAGTGATAGAAAATAAAATAAAAATACTATAAATAAAAAAATATTAAAGTAAATAATAATTTAAATATAATAGTAAAATATTATAGTAAAATAATATTATATTTAAAATTATTTTACTAAATAATAATTTAAATAAAAATATTATTTGAAATTTATAAATCAGATTACGACGGTTAAAACCGCCGCAATTTCTAACCTACGGCGGTAGAATAACCGTCGCAAACAACAACAAAAACAAAAAATAAAGTCAAATTCACGACGGTATATAACCGTCGCTATCTGTTGTGCGTGACAGTTTTTGCAACCGTCGCGAAATAGGCTGGGGACGCACGATTCTGCTACGGTACTTCTACCGTCGTAGATTGTAAATTGCGACGGTTTTAACCGTCGTAATCAGCCAAAATAACCGTCCCAATCTATCATTTTTCTTGTAGTGATAGTCTTTGAAACCTTCATTGGAGACCATGGCCATACTCTGGAGTTGAGTACGGGTAGGCGCCAAATCAGTGTTGTATTGATATTGCTTGTAGAAAGTTGTAGCAAGATCTTCCCAATTGTGAACATTAACCCTTTCTAGTTGGTAGAACCAGTTAACTTGAGTCCCAGACAGACTGTCTTGGAAGAAATGCACCCATAAGTCTTTATTAGCGGTATGGGGTTGGATTTTTCTCACATATGACCGGAGATGCATTTTAGGGCATGACACTCCGTCATATTTGGCAAATACAGGTGCTTTGAATTTCGGAGGAATCACAATCCCTGACACCAAACCGAATTCCTCAAAGTCCAAGTCTTGTACCTTTTGGATTTCCATCACGCTCAACTGCTCTTCGAGATCTTTGTACTTGTCATCAGCTGGAGGGTATTGTTCCTCATAGTAGTCCTCTTCTTCTTCCTCTTCTTCCGATTCTGATGGGACAACTGTTTCCTTTCCTTTCCCTTCTCCTTCACCGGATGTGGTTGCAAAGTCCAACGTCCATCTTGTCTTCCCATGAAATCTTCTTCCCATGTTTAAGACTCAGGTTACCTTCTTTGTTTTCTTTTTCCTCTCTTCAGCCAGCAGAGTCTTCAACTCTTCTTGCCCCTTGGCTAGGGTCATGAGCAACTGTTGAAACTGCATATTCTAAGCTTGGAGATCTTTCACTGTTTGCTCGAGATCCATCTTACTGAAATAAATAGTAGAGAGATGAGGAGACTTATTGCAAAAACCGTCTTATGTTATGATGAATGGTATATGCAGATGCAATGTTTTCAAGAATTTCAAAGATTCAAATTTGTTTTAGACAAAAAGGAAACACATGTTATATTAATAAGATAAAGTTTGAGTACATCAATGCCCCTTGGGAAAAATAATACAAAATCTCTAAGATAGAAAAGTAGTGCGCATCCTCTTTGGTGCAATGTAGGCATCCAGAGTCTGCTCCTCATGAAGTAGCCTAGTGAGCTCCAAAACCTTCTTCTAACTTGTGTAGAATTGGGATTCAAAAGTATCTCACTCCCCTTTGAGTTGTATCCAATCCCTTTGTAAGTCTTCAAGAGATGCGGGCATGTCAGGATGTAGGATAGTCTATGGAACGTCTCCCTCCGTGACAGGCTCAATGATTACCGGGAGAATGGAGGGGTAAGGCATCATAAGACTCTGAGCGTGAGTTCGTACCCATTTGAGGTAAGGCTCAAGAGGGATGGAATTCTTGTGTCCCAAATTCTTGATATCCACCTTGTTTAACATCCTCCAAGCTCGGATAAATCTCTGGCGAAGACCTTGATCATCGTTGTCATAGTCGAATACCAAACCTTGAATCAATATCTCGTGCGGGCCATCCCTTCGGGCATAACCAAATTGTCTTTAGGATAAGCAAGGGTTGTAGGTGATTCCTCCCCTAATACCAAGTAAAGGGACATTAGGAAATTCTCCATAACGGTCAACAATGATAACATTCTCTTTGGATCGGAAGCACCAATGAAAGTCTGAATGCTTAAGCGTCATTAACCTTTGTGACCACCTTGAACCTTGCTCATTCTTTAATACTGATTGGGGAAGATGATAAATAAACCATCTTTCCAAGAGAGGAGTGCAACACATAAGAACACCTCTTTTCCTCATTGTGCGAGTGTGAAAAGAGTGTAGGATATCCCCTAGCAATGTAGGCACCGGGTTGCGGGATATGAAGATTTTGATGGCGTTCACATCTATGAGTTGATCAGGATTTGGAAACAAAACCATTCCATAGACGAGGAGAGCCACAATTTCCTCAAAGGCTTGCAAGTCCAAGGAATTCCAACAGCTTTGGGCTTTCTCAAACAGGAACTTTGCTAGGAAACCTTTGACACCACTCCTTGTTTCCCAGTGAGTTGTGAAATCAGATGAGTGCAAGTGTAGAGCTTAAGCAATCTCTTCTGGATTTGGATCTCTTTCTCTACCATTCAAAGGTATTTGATTGTGAATGGGAATCTTCAAGAGTTGGGAGAATTCTTCCAAAGTAGGCACAAGTTGATAGTCGGGAAATGTGAAGCAATGGTGCAAAGGGGATCAAATAACTGAAATAGCACCTTCATCATGTCCTCATTCGTGTTGGAGGTGACCAAGTTGAGTAGACGACCATGTATCTCAGTGAATGGAGAGTTTTCAGGAATTCTTGAAACTAGCTCCTTAAGTTGTGGAGGGATCCTCACAAGGTTGACTTGAATAGTTTTCCTGCGAAGTGAATCCATATCCTATAAAACAAGAACAAAGATGAATCCAAAAATCCTTGAAATGGTTAGTGGATGTATATGATGTTCATGATGTTTATGATGTTATGTACAAGTGTGCATACACAAGCAAAGCAAACAAGTCCTTATTTTAGGCTTGCATGGAGTTTTATAGGTAATTACCCTCTTGAAGTTTAGTTGGCTTAAACATGTCCTAGTAATAGTAGCCGGGTTCTAAGGAGCTCAATATCACTGGATTGTTTCCTTGGTCATTGTTTCAGCTCAAGCCTCTTTAATGGCGACCGAAATATCCCAAGAAACCAAACCTCAATGAGTGTAGTATCGAGTATCTACCAATTTCGGACTGCACCAAAGCCGGTTATCTCACTACATCCTAAAGGCCAAGTTGGTCAAGTAAAGGTTCTAAAAGTTCATTAGTGCTTCATGACATCACTCTGCGGCCCCATATTCTCTTTGATTAACTCAAAGGCTACCGGTACCCACAAATATGTCGCACTAACGTAGCTATTTCTTAGACCATGTCGGTATACCCCGCACAGTTTCCACAACGTATTGCTACTTACCTATAATGTATCCCCGAATCCGGGTAGAGGATTCAAACCCAAACAAAGAACCATAATGTAAAGCATACAAGTCA